GAACCTTCCGCCTCAGCCTTCCGAGTAGCCGGAACCACAGGCGCGTGCTACGACGCCCGGCTAATTTTTTGATTTTATTGTAGAGATGAGGTCTCGCCTGCCCAGGTGGATCTCAAACCCGCAGGTTCAGGCAATCCACTCACCTCAGCCTCCCAAAGGCGTGGGATTACAGGCTGAGCCACCGAGCCCGGCTAATTTTTTAAATTTAATTGTAGAGATGAGGTCTTGTCAAGTTGCCTGGGCTGGTCTCAAACCTGCGGGCTCAGGCAATCCATCCGCCTTGGCTTCCCAAAGTGCTGGGATTACCAGCTGAGCCTCTTTTTTTTCTTTTGAGTTGGAGTCTCACACTGTCATCCAGGCTAGAGGGCAGTGGCACACTCACGGCCACCCCAGTGTCAACCTCCTGGGCTCCAGCAATCCTTCCGCCTCAGCTTTCCAAGTAACTGAACTACAGGCATGCACTACCACACCCGGCTAATTTTTAAAATTTATTGTAGAGATGAAATCTCACCAAGTTGCCCAGACTGGTCTCGAACCCGTGGGCTCAGGCAGTCCACTCGCCTAGGCCTCCCCAAATGCTGGGATTACAGGCGTGAGCCACCACGCCCAGCCTTCCCTTCTCTTTGGACAGCTCAGTCCTTTATTATTTTCCCACTTTACAGATGAAAAAACTGAAGGCTCACACAGCAAGTCGGGAGAGGGCTGGGCCTTGGACTCAGGCAGCCTGCCTCACAGCCCACACGCTCCCCTCACACGGTGCTCTGTGGAGTGCGGCAGTCCCACCGCTTTTCATTCTATAAATGGCCCGAGTGCAGACGTCAGCTCTGAGTCACCAGCGCCCGCTCAGCGAGCACTAACAACCAAGTGCATCTCTGAAATACCAAGACGCCGTCTGGGTATCACCTCACCCATTGCCCACCGGACGTCCTGTGGCACCTGCCTGGAGCCGGGGTCACCCAGGCTTAGAACTCCCCTAGGTCGGGCTCCTCCAAGCTGCCTCCCCGGGCCACCGCTGTGGAAGGGACTGGAAGTCCCTGCCAACCTCGGGCATCAGGTTCTGCCTGACACCCAACCCAAGCCAGTGGCCCCGCTCTCCGTTTGGAGTCCGGGGTGCTGCCCTATCTCTGGGCATCTGTCTGCCGCCGTCATGAAGTCCAGGTCTGGGAAGCGGATGCCCACTGGTTCCTGTCCAGTGCGCCAGACCTGAGTGCCATCTCCTGCTCTTAGAACCCATCGCTCTGGCCTCCTCCTCACTCCGCCCTCACAGGTGCCCCCGCCTCGCTCCAGGGCTGCCATGTGTCCCCAGCTGGATTTATCTTCCTGCCGAGCACGGCTCCCAGCTCAGCCCTGGCATGGTGTCCCACGCCTGCTGATGCTTCCAGGTGCCCACGGCGCGGAGCTGGGCCACAGCCACGCACAGAAGCCAGGCAGCCGGCAGGCCCTTACCCGCTGTGGTCTTGTCATTGGTCCAGATGAGATTCTTGGCCTTGACCACGACCACGGTGAGGCGCTCGGCTGTGGGGAGGTAGCTGAGACACAGGAGGATCTCTCCCACAGCGTCGGCGGCCTGGGAGACAGCGGATGGTCAGAGGGCTTTGCTCCCCACAGGTCTTGAGAGGTCTGGGGAAAGGCCTTGATTGCCAGGAGCAGCCAGAAGCTTCCTTCTCCACAGAGAAGTGGTTTTTCCTGGGGGCCCTTGGTCAGAGGGCTTTGTCCCCCGCAGGACTTGAGGGGTCCAGGGAAAGGCCTTGATTGCCAGGACCAGATAGAAGCTTCCTTCTCCTGGGGGCCCTTACACCAGGGCTCCAGGCTGGCAGGACAGACAAGGAAACAACTCTCTCCCTCCCTCTGTCCCTCCTACCCCTTCCCTCCATGCTCACCACTGCAGGGAACATGCCTCACCTTCCCTGGGGTGGAGGCCTGCCTTGGAAGGAAGGCTAGAGGCTGCCTGTCCAATGCAGCCATCAGATGCAGCTTTGTTCCCTCATTCCAGGCTGAGAAAACCATTCTGTGGTCGTAGTACACAGAGATGGAAGAGGAACGGGACCAGGTCCTGTGCTTAAACAACTACGCTGTTCCCTGAGCACTCCTAAACTTATAAAGGTAAACTTCAACTTGGCCTCTGTCTGAGATAGGCCCCTTTAAGAACAGAGGAGTGTCCTCCTAACAGAGCCTCTGAAGGTGTGGTGGTAGGTAGGCAGAGGAGGTGTAAACAGTGGTCAGGATTTGGGGTCATTTGCATTTGTTTGCAGTAAGCAGAGTGTCCTTGACTGTGGCTCGGGCCGGGCCACCTTCTCTGCTCTCCTAATGATGCTGGGGTTTGGGCTGCTGCAGAGGACAGGGGAGTTCCCCCTCGGAAGTGTCCGTGTACGGGCTCTCGTGGAGGGTGGACAGGCAGGCCAAGGCCGGCCCCTTACCTTGTTCGGGTCCTGTAAGTAGAGCCAGCCGCTGAAGGGCTGCAGCGTGAGGTCCAGCACAGAGAGCTTCAGCTCCACCACGCCGGTGCTGACGTTCCGCTCGTCTTCATTGATGCCGAACACGGAGAATCGCAGGCTTGTCTCTTCCAGCGCTGTGGGGTCCAGGGGGATGGAGAACTTCTCATCGAAGAAGATGGGGTAGGCATTCCTCTGGATCTGCAGAGCAGAGAGAAGGACCATGGAGGGAGCGCCAGAGTTGGAGGGGTAGCGGCCCCGGGCCTGGGAGTCCGCAGGAGGGAGAGAGCACTGGACGGGGAGTCCAGAGACCTGCGCTAGAGTCCTGACTCTGTTATCCCAACTGCCTCCATGCCAGTCTTTTTTTTTTAAATTTTGAGTTGGAGTCTCACTCTGTCACCCAGGTTGGAGTGTAGGGGCGCACTCCTGGCCACCGCAGCCTTGACCTGCTGGACTCTGGCGATCCTTCCGCCTCAGCCTTCCAAGGAGCTGGAATTACAGGTGTGCACCACCACACCCGACTAATTTTTTTTTTTAATTTTATTGTAGAGACAAGGGCTTGCCAAGTTGCCCGGGCTGGTCTCGAACCCACGGGCTCAGGCAATCCACTCACCTCGGCCTTCTAAGGTGCTGGGATGACAGGCTGAGCCACCGAGCCTGGCTTCTTCCTTCCTTCCTTTCTTCCTTCCTTTCTCTCTCTCTCTTTCTTTTTTTGAATCAGAGTCTCACTCTGCCGCCCAGGCTGGAGTGCAGTGGCACACTCATGGCCATCCCAGCGTCAATCTGGACTCTCTTTCATCTGCTTGAGTCCAGCCCTGGGCCAGGCATGCAGCAGGGGTGAGACAGTTGTCTGTGGTGTCAAGAGCCATGGACGGCCCGGCCCCCCTGCAGAGCCCGGCCCAGGACCCTCTGAACGCTGCAGGATGGATGGGCGGATGGAGGGAGGGAACCTCCGTTCCCAAGCCTAGTTCTGCCTGGTGGGCGCCACTGGCCTCCTCCCAGGAAGCCGTGGGCAGGTGCACTCACGGGCACTGCTCTCTCCCGGGGGTGGGGCCCCCTTAGTCACTGCCTGGAGATATTTAAAGGAAGGAGCTCTCATCCCTGGCACCTTGCTGGAAGCTGGGGGGCTGCCCAGCCTGGGGGCGGCACGCACTGGTAGGATTGGCCAGGCTGCGATGCTGAGCAGCCTTGCTTCCTGGGAATAAGTCCGCCAATGCCTCCAGTCACCCTGAACCGCACTCTTCTGGCATTGCCTGGGCTCTAGGAAGACTCCCTTCACAGTGCTCCCTGGGAGTCACATTCCCTTGCTCCCAAGGGGTAAAGCCCACGTCCTGACCTTGGCTTTCAGGTCCGCCATGGTCTTCTGGCCCCATCTCTCCGTCCTCTGGCCACACTACCCTCTCGGCTGTCCCCTACTCGTGGGGCCCGGGGCAACCCAATCAGCATTTTCTGAGCATTGTGCTTTAGGGGGACATGGGAAGAGAAGGATAGGAGCCCTGGGTTCGAGTCCCAGACTTCCCGTTTGCCTGCTGGGATTGTCTTGGACAAAACACTTTCCCCAGCCTCAGTTTCCCCATCTGTAAGTTGTCCTAACAGTCCATCCTACCCGCCTCTGGGGGCTAATGAGAGAATCGTGGACGTGCCGAGCTCTGTGAAACGGGCACACCTCAGCACACATCAGGCTGTGGCAGCTGCTTGTTTGCCAATGTCCCTCCTGGAGGGATGTGTCCTGAACCCCCCGAGTCCCCCAGGCAGCCTAGGCCATAGGCAGCGTGGCTCGAATGTGGGAGAGAGGTCCTTCTTGGCAACTTTGCCTGGTCCTGACAGCCAACCTCCTAAGCACTTACCAAGGGCTAGACTAAGGATTTCACAAGTGTTAACCTGTCTCTTCCTCAATAATGATGGCGCCCGTTCATTTGATAGACGGGGAAACTGAGTCCCAGGGCGCTAAACTGACTTACCCAAGATCACACTGCTAGGAAGTGGTGGCGGAACCAGGATTTGAACCCAGGCAGTCAGGCTCTGGGGTCCTGTTCCCAACCACCCATGGTGCTGCCTCTCAGAAGCTTGGCCGCCCCCCTGATGCCCTGTCCCCATAGGACCGGTGGTCAGTCCTGGACCCTCCTTAGACTGATGGGCACAGGGTGGGGCGGGAGAGGGAAGACCGTGTCCATCACTGAGGGCCAGCCAGCTGATTTTCAGCACGGCGAGTGACCAGACACAGATGGGTCTCAGGGAGTCAGAAGGCACTTGGTCCTACGGGTTCCCTGGCTCCCCCCACTGTATGCTGACCTCGCCCGTCTCAGAGGCTCCAGCCTTGGCCTTGGCGTCTAGACAGCCTCCTCCCCTTCAGCCCAGAGCTATCTGCTGCTGGACAGAAGGCCAGGGCTTGTGTTGGCCTGGCCCCCTCTCGCCAGGGAGGGACACGGGCAGGGAGAGGGGGCTGGGTGCCCCCCACCCTCCTGTTTGTTTCCCCCTCCCTCACTCTGTTCTCGACCTCAGGTGCTGACCTCCCTTGGCCTCTGGCTTCCGGTGGGGTCAGCCAGTGGGGGTCACCGGAAGGATCTGGGAGCCAGAGGGAGGTCCTTCTCAGCAGGGCAGCTGTGGGCTGACCATGTCAGCTGACCATGTCGCCGGACCCAAGGGCACAGCCCTTATGGAGTTGGCCCTCCCCACACGCCCCTCTCCTTGCGGTCCCAGCAATCTCACCTCCCCCTCATTCCCTCAGACCTGGGGTAGGACCACCCTCCTGTCACCCCCCTCCAGGGTATCACGACATCCCTGAGGTCACCCATGCCCCGCCCACACCACTCTAAGTAGTACAGCTATTTCTTTTTCTTTCTTTTATTTTTTTGAGTCGGAGTCTCACCCTGTCGCCCAGGCTGGAGTGCAGTGGCACGCTCCCGGCCACCGCAGCCTCGACCTGCTGGGCTCCGGTGATCCTTCCGCCTCAGCCTTCCAAGTAGCTGGAGCTACAGGCATGCGCTACTACGCTTGGCTAATTTTATTTATTGTAGAGACGAGGTCTCACCACATTGCCTAGGCTGGTCTCAAACCCCTGGACTCAGGCAACCCTCTTGCCTCAGGCTCAATTTTTTTTATTTTTTTTGTAGAGACGAGGTCTTACTATATTGTCCAGGCTGGTCTTGAACTCCTGGATTCAAGCAATCCTCCCACCTCCGCCTCCCAAAGTGCTGGGATTACAGGCGTGTGCCACCCCCCCACCCCTCAGTGCCCCACAGTATCCTGGTATTAAGCTCTCCTCAAACTAGACAACTTAAGCATGCTATCCCTTTTCTGCCAGGACCCCATGGTGACACGAGGACCAATGTGGACGTGGACAGGAGCTGAGAACTGGTGCCGTGGGAGCCCTGGGGGGAGGCCCCAAACTCCCCACTCTCCCTACAGTCCGCCCCTTCGGCACCGGGATCAGCACCCAAACCTGCTCTCCGGCACCCCCTTGGGATCCTGCCACCCGCCACCTGGGGAGGAGTCTAGGAGCCCAGAGCCCACTTACCCGGGAGATGCCCACAATCTGCTCGTCGGGCAGCAGGCTGACACGCATGAAGCAGGACTCGAAGCTGGCCTCCTCGCGCTCCAGGAGGTCCTTGCCCTGCAGCACGGCCACGTGCAGGGTGTGGGAGGCGGCGTCGTAGTCCATGCTCACCTCCACCTGGCCCAGCGTGAAGTCCTGCCCAAAGGTGTTGCTCACAGAGGAGACAGAGTTCAGGGAGTCGGCCGACTGGGACTTCCGGAGGGCCCCGTAGGGGGCCAGGTCCAACTCCCGGCCCATCAGCTCCAGGGGTCCCAGCTCACTGATGCTCTCGAAGGTGTCTTCGATGCTGAGGCTGCCTTTGCGGCTGGGTGGTCCCCGTGTGCTGGCCCGCTGGGCGTTCCAGGCAGGCACTCTCTGGGGGTGAGAAAAAGGGACATCGGAGCCTCGCGAAGGCCACGGGCAAGGTGGTTAGGAGACGGCGGACAGGTTAGGACCTGGCCTTTCTTTCTTTCTTTCTTTCTTTTTTTCTTTCTTTCTTTCTTTTTTTCTTTCTTTCTTTCTCTCTCTCTCTCTCTCTCTCTCTCTCTCTCTCTCTCTTTCCTTCCTTCCTTCCTTCCTTCCTTTCTTTTCTTTCTTTTTTGGGTCAGGGTCTCACTCTGTCAACCAGGTTGGAGGGCAGTGGCACGCTTATGACCACTGCAGCCTCGACCTGCTGGGCTCAGGCAATTCTTCCTCCTCAGCCTTCCAAGCAGCTGGAACTACAGGCATTCAAGGTCCCTCTGAGTTCCCCTTTCCCCAAAGCAGTGCGTCCCCAAGTTAGGGAGGTCTTTTTTCAAGTATTTCATGCCCTTTGCTTTTCTTTCCTTAACCAGAATGTAAGAAAGCTTTTTCTCAAAATGCTTATTTGTAGGAACAGAATTTCTTACATAAAGATGTCCATTGCAGCCGGGCTCGGTGGCTCAGCCTGTAATCCCGCGCCTTTGGGAGGCTGAGGTGAGTGGATTGCCTGAGCCCGAGGGTTCGAGACCCACCTGAGCAACTTGGCGAGACCTCATCTCTACAATAAAAATCAGAAAATTAGCCGGGCGTGGTAGCGTGCACCTGTAGTTACAGCTACTTGGAAGGCTGAGGCAGAAGGATCGCCGGAGCCCAGAATGTCGAGACCGTGGCAGCCGGGAGTAGCCGCTGCACTCCAGTCTGGGCGACAGAGTGAGACTCCAACTCTAAAAAAAAAGGATGTCCATTGCAGTGATGTTTATAAAAGGAAAATTTGCGAGCCGGGCTCGGTGGCTCAGCCTGTAATCCCGCGCCTTTGGGAGGCTGAGGTGAGTGGATTGCCTGAGCCCGCGGGTTCGAGACCCGCCTGGGCAGCGAGACCTCATCTCTCCAATAAATTAAAAAAAAAATCAGCTGGGCGTGGTAGCGCATGCCTGTAATTCCGGCTACTCGGAAGGCTGAGGCGGAAGGATCGCTGGAGCCCAGCAGGCGAGGCTGCGGTGGCCGGAAGCGGCCACTGCACTCTAGTCTGGGTGACCGAGTGAGACTCCACCTCAAAAAAAAAAAAAGGAAAATTTGCTAGCCATCTAAGCATACAGCAGAAGGGGGCCTGGGGAAGATTACTAGGGTCTAGGCTGGGCATGGTGGCTCACGCCTATAATCCCAGCATGTTGGGAGACAGAGGTAAGAGGATTGCTTGAACCCAGGAGTTTGAGACCAACCTGGGCAACATAGCCAGACCTTGTGTCTACAAAAAATTTTTAAAAATTAGCCAGGCATGGAGTTGCCTGCCTATGGCCCCAGCTACTCAGGAGGCTGAGGCAGAAGGACCACCTGAGCCCAAGAGTTTGAGACCAGCCTGGGCAACATAGCCAGACCTCAACTCTACAAAAAAGTCCAAAAATTTAGCCAGGCATGGAGGCATGTGCCTATAGTCCCAGCTACTTGGGAGGCTGAGGCAGAAGGATCGCCTGAGCCCAGAAGGTCAAGGCTACAGTGAGCCATGGTTATGACACTGAACTGCAGCCTGGATGATAGAGTGAGACCCCATCTCAAAACAACAACAATAATAATATTACTAAGGTCTAGCCACTAAAGAGGAGATGGAGCAGGCTCAAGGGAAGTTTACAACACAGAAATCTTTCTCTCTCTTTTCTTTTTGAGTTAGAGTCTCACTCTGTTGCCCAGACTGGAGTGGCACGCTCATGGCCACTGCAGCCTCGACCTACTGGGTTCAGACGATCCTTCCGCCTCAGCCTTCCAAGGAGCTGGAACTACAGACGCGTGCTACCACGCCCAGCTAATTTTTGATTTATTGTAGAGACGAGGTCTCGCCAAGTTGCCCAGGCTAGTTTCGAACCCCTGAGCTTAGGCAATCCTCTCACCTCAGCCTCCCAAAGTGCTGGGATTACAGGCTTGAGTCTCCACGCCCGGCCTACAAACCTTTCATGTTGAGTAACACATTTGCCCAAATAGTCTAAGTATTTTCTCCCTCGCCTATATATTTGAATTTTTATTTTCTCTAAATTAACTTTGGGATTTGAGAAAGCAAAGGCCTTTGTACCATAAGCCTCTCCCTATCTTCATTACCGTAATTGTTATCTCTCCATAGTCTTTTTTAAAATTTGAGTTGGAATCTCACTCTGTCACGGAGGCTGGAGTGCAGTGGAATGCTCATGGTCACCACAGCCTTGACCTGCTGGGTTCAGGCAATCCTTCCACCTCAGCCTTCCAAGTAGCTGCAACTATAGGCATGCTCCACCACGCCTGGCTAATTTTTTGATTTATTGTAGAGACGGGGTCTCACCAAGTAGTCCTGGCTGGTCTCGAGCCCTTGGGCTCAGGCAATCCTCTCGCCTCAGCCTCCCAAAGTGCTGGGATTACACGCGTGAGCCACCGTGCCCGGCTTACATAGTCTTCATTACCATAATTGTTTCTGGTGTCTCAATTTCCCTTGAGCAGATAACCGTAATTTTTTTTTTTAGAAGGAGTCTCACCCTGTTGCCCAGGCTGGAGTGCAGTGGCCCGCTGCTCATGGCCACCACAACCTCGACCTGCTGGGCTCAGGTGATCCTTCTACTTCAGCCTTCCAAGTAGCTGGAACTACAGGCGTGTGCCACCATGTTTAGCTAATTTTTTGATTTATTGTAGAAACGAGGTCTCACCATGTTGCCCAGGATGGTCTCGAATCTGTGGTCTCAGGTAACCCTCCTGCCTCGACCTCCCAAAGTGCCAGGATTACAGGTGTGAGCCACTGCACTCAGCTAGATAACCATAATTTAATGTAGTATTCCCCTCCTGTTGGACATTTATGTTGTTTCTAATTTTTCAGAAATATAAACAACACAGCATTGAATAGCTTTCTTAAAATCCTGGCTCAGAGGTCACAGTCCTCTTGAAGGCTTTGGACACATGTTGTCAAAATGGTCTTTGGAAAAGGACCCCTACTTTACACTCTCCCCAACAGAGTGTGAGATAATCCCCCAGACACCCCATGAGGGATTCTCATCTGATAATGGATTCTGGCTGTGCTCACTGAAACTCTATATGACATTTGGAAAATTCTCTGCCATGTGTTAAATGATGAAACATTCAGCAATGTATAGTGTGAGTCCTAGAAATGTTTGTGCCCCTGATATAGTAATTCCGTATCTGGGCATGCCTCCAAAGTACACTATCCCAAATGAAGACAAAGTTTTACATACAAAACATCGCTACATTATTTATGATGGCACTTAGTAGATCAGGGCACACGCACGAGAAGGAGCCTCCTGCAGCCATTAAAATGATGTTTGTAATGAGTACTCAACCATATGGGAAAATGCTTCAGCAGTAAGCAAGATTAAAAGAGCAGGGCTTACACTTCTACACAGATATGACGCCCAGTGTGTGAAAACTATGCGTGGAAAAAGACTGGGGGAGGTTGATTAAAAATACCAGAGAGGGCCAGGCCTGGTGGCTCACACCTGAAATCCTAGCACTTGGGGAGGCCAAGGCAGGAAGATCGCTTCAGCCCAGGAGTTCAAGACCAGCCTGGGCAATATAGCATGACCTCCTCTCTACCAAAAAAAAAAAATGGTGGGCCGCAGTGGCTCATGCCTATAATCCCAGCACATTGAGAGGCCGAGGTGAGCCCAGGGGTTTGAGACCAGCCTGGGCAACTTGGTGAGACCTCATCTCTAAAATAAATTTAAAAATTAGCCAGTTGTGGTGGTGCGTGTCTATAGTTTCACTACTTGGAAGGCTGAGGTGGAATGGTCGCCTGAGCCCAGCAGATCGAGGCCGTGGTAGCCGTCAGCATGTCAGCATACCATTGCTCCAGCCCGAGCAACAGAGTGAGACTCCTACTCAAAAAAAAAAAAAATTTAACAGTTGTTTGTCTCTGGGTGGTGGCACTGGGGAGATGGTCTTCTTTCTTTCTTTTTTTTTTGAGTTGGAGTTTCACTCCCTCGCCCAGACTGGGGTGCAGTGGCCGCTCCCGGCCACCGCAGCCTTGACCCGCCGGG